CCCTAGAAGCCACAGAATGCAAAAATAAATAAATTTTACATTTTAAAATTACAATCTAATTTTCACATTTAACTTTAATTTAATATTACAGTCTACTTTTCACATTTTAAATCCACACTGCAAGACCCATCAGAGCACAGAAACATAACCCCCACCTAGCTCTACCCCCCCAGCTGCAAAAAAACCCCACAAAAGACCCACCAAGCTGCAGTGTATGTACTCACCCAGAACAGGCAGTCTCTCTGTTTTTTTTAAAAAAAGTCAAAAATTTTAAAATCAAAAATTTTAAAAAGCCAAAAAATACAGTCCATACAGTACAGTACCAGGTAGTTGTACTGTACAGTACCAGGAAATACCAGGCAGTCTGAAGACTCTCTCTCTACCAACTCTCTAACCGCTGGGACGAGCGAGGTAGCAGAGAAGCAGCCTCTTCGATGGCAAATGGTCAACTGAAAGTTCAAATTTTGAGCTTTCCCCTCCTCCCCTGCGGTTTTTTCTTTCCGTAACTCGAAGCTCCGGTCGCAAGTTGAAGCAATATTTTGCGGCCGGAACGTTTTGTATCTCGAAAATTTTGCAAATAGGGACATTCGTAAGTCAAGGCACCACTGTACTAAAAATATATGGCAAGGTGGTTCTCCTGCTTCAAACAAGCAGTGACTTGATTGTTCAAATGACATTCCTTACTAGTGAAGCACATCATGGCTCATGTAAACCATGCTATACTACAATATAGCCTCAGTTCTACGGACATTCTTAGGAATCAAAATGGGAAATGGGGGCAACCTCGTATTTTGCTCCCATTTGGCACTTTGTTCCTAAGCACAAGGAAGCATGGTGGGTGGCTTAGAGCAGCCACGACAGTACCTGAAGTGGCAATGAGGAGCTACTTGAAGAGAACAAATCTCCCATCTTCTTTCAGAGGCTACTGCCTGGTGGAAATAAGATCCCCTGGGAGTACCAACTGCTCAGCCAGCATGAAGTCAGTAAGTCAGGGAGAGCAAGAATCAAAAACAGGCTCTTAAGCAATGGGAGAGAGAGAAGGGGGGAAATGGAACATGGAGTAGAGCTAAGCTGGTTTTTTGCCAGCACTAAAAGGCTGGCAAAAAAAAGGGTCAGGGAAAAGTGAGTCCTGTCAATTAGAAGAGAAGGCAGGAAGTGGGAAAGCAAAAGGAGGAAAAATAACCACCACACAGTCTTAATACCACAATCTTTTGTATATTTACTCCAAACCAGTCCTCATTCTATTGAGTGAAACTTTCTTAAATTGAAGAAGGCAAAATGTTATTTGTCTCCTGAAATATCCCAGCAGGTAGAAGGAAAAAATAGTGACACAAATGGAGTAGAATTCCAGATTCTTTAGGCACCGTAGTAGGCACAGCTTCTCTTTTCCTTCTTTCTTTTTTAAACTCCCTAGAAAGCATGGGTTCTCAAATGTGAGGCCTCAGCCATTCTGATAATACAACTCCCAAAAGGCCTGATCACCAGCTGTTCTTGTTAAGATTTCTGGGAATTGTAATCCAAGAACACACCTGGGGCTCCAGGTTTGGGAACCACTGCTATCAAGTAATATCTCTTGCTTACTGACAAGTAGCCCTATACTGGAGACCTGCGCATTACTAAACATACCTTTCTCCCGGTCCTAGTACAAAACCTATAACCATACTGCTCTTTCATAAACCTTGTCATCATAAGCTGTTTGCACTTCCTTTTTCTCCTTTACATCTTGTAAAAGGCTACAGGAAGTTAATCAAAGTGCTTACAAGCAAAAGGGAAAAGAAATGATTACATATTATGCTTGTATGTCAAAATTCCACTCCTGTAGAGCACTACATTGCCTGTTGGTCTGCATGTTTATGTCTCCACTTTAGTCTCATTTATGTCTACGTATATTCCTCTCTCCACAAGATCTGCCCACACACTGCTGTGTACTTAAAAGGGGAAATAATATTTATTTATTGAAAGTTATTTTACTCCACCTTTCACTTTAAAAAGGACGCAAGATGGATAACATCATTAAAACACAATATTTAAAAGCTAAAAACAGCAAGTATACAAATACAGTATTTAAAAGAATCAAAAAATGCCACACTAAAAATGGTAAGCAAAATCAACACAAAAAACAGATTCAAAGCAACAAGGCATAACACTCCATTTAAAACCCCTTTCAGATAGCCAATCACTAAAGGAAAGCCTAGGCTGGCTGCATAGCTCAGAGGTTTAGGCACTGGTTCAGGGTTTGATTCCCCACTGTGCCTCCTGCGAATAGAGCCAGCCTGTGTGACCTAAAGCAAGCAGTATAATCCCAGAATGCCCTCCTCAGAAGGGAATGGTAAATCACTTCTGTGTATTCTCTATATTGAAAACCATGAAAAAAGTTGCTAGAAGTCAGAATTGACTTGATGGCACATGAATATTATTATTAAGGGAAAGTTTGCCTGAAAAGAAGGGTCTTTGCCTGCTTGGAGAAGAACAGCAAAGATGGGGCCAGGCTGGCCTCCCATGGAAGGGAGTTCCAGAGTCTGGGTACAGCAACACAGAAGGTCCTCTCCCATGTACCCACCAAGCACACCTGGGAAGGTGTTGGGACCAAGAGAAAGGCCTCCTCTGATGAACCTACCGTATTTTTTGCTCCATAAGAGGCACCGGACCTTAAGACACACATAATTTTTAAAGGAGGAAAACAGGAAAAATATATTCTGAGCCAACTAGTGTAATAAAATATTTAATAAACTATAACAGAATAACATTTGAACCATGTAAAGTGAACAGCAGTCAACAGTGGCATTAAGAACCATTACCACTGTCATTAACAAATGGAGAGACTTAAAGCTTTAGGGAAAGTTTGCCTGAAAAGAAGGGTCTTTGCCTGCTTGGAGAAGAATAGCAAAGATGGGGCCAGGTTGGCCTCCCATGGAAGGGAGTTCCAGAGTCTGAGACCAGCAACAGAGAAGGCGCTCTCCTGTGTCCACA